AATTTATCTATGTCGTATGACAATTTTTTTTATAGATAAATTCATCTTAAGGTACGCGTCCATCGACCCGCGCCGGACACATCGCACGCAACGATTTGCTTTGTCTTCCGATGTAGGCGGCGCGGATGATGGATGAAATGCTATGTAGCATACAAAGACAACTAAAATCCGCTGCGGGTCGTGCGTCCAGTGCATGCGGTGCGGACCATTGGACGCGTACCCTTAGATGAGATATTCTAATGTTGCAAAAGTTACCAACATTAAAAATAATAGCTCCCACGAATTCTCGGTTCTGCAAAGTGCAAACTAGTAAGGGAATTCAAAATAATAATGTAATCACCTCAATGTTTGTTTCTCGATTTCACAATTGTTTTGATTAGTGCACAGCGTACCAATCGATAGATATCATTTTCTTTCTAGGATATAGTAACAAAATACATTGAGCAATCGGTTTAGTTTGCGTAATTCTACACTGCACTGGTTCCATTAATTTGTGCTTACGACTAAGCATGTATATGCAATACGGCGAAAATCTAGGGCCGTGTCTAGTTTCGCACGCTGTTGATATAAGTAAAGTAAGTAGGGCAAGTTAGTAATGTCACGTTTAAAATTATTGCAGTCCCGAAGCACCGGCGACCGCGCCCAGTCGCGGCATGTGATTGCGAGACCCGTACCACACGCGCTTTAGCCATATGCATTGATACCTGCCAATGGAAAACTTTTACAACCTAGGGTAGGTTAGAACTTATAAATAATCTGGCTAAAGTAGTCATGAACCAAGAAAAATAAAACGAAAGAAACTTTAATATAATATGCGACAGGTTTACTGAGCAATCATTGTCATGAAACCACTTCTTCCTGTTAAATTTTATTATAAAATACTACTGCCATTAAAATAGGTTTTCGAAAATCGACGTACAAAACCAGTTTTGGTTTTTAATGAAAAAAAAAACAAGCGCTTCACCACAATTCACTTGATTTTATTGCCTTTAGTGATTGATGGTCATTCATCGGCCGAAATGTACGTATCATAATTTTCCTTCTACGAATGAAGTTCGTCGGAGAAATTCCTCGGGCGTTCGGTTCAATGGCCGCGTGCGCGCCTGTGTGCGTGCCGTGTGCGCACGTCGGACACGCACACACGCACGCGCTCGTGTCTCTGCAAACACGACCGAACCGTTACCTTCTAGTAGTGCTACATTCAGTACTTCGGCTGTCATACAACTTAATAAGCCTATTTCTTCACATTGAATCCTTTAAGCTACGCATTAATATCTGTAAGGTGTGGCAAACTAGTAACGTACTTAAGATTATTGATGTCGTAGTTTTTTAAACGTGTTAGAAAAATAAGACAGGCGCAGAACAAACGAAGTAAGCGCAGCAGCCCGCAATTCTACAAAAAATTCACAGGCTCACATAGCTGCGAATTTTAATTTATAATATTATATTACTGTATCGTAATAACGACTTTTCAAAGGGACTACCAGCTTACTTGTGTATAGAGGTTTGGCTTCAGCAAACGATAATATTTATGTTGCAAAACTAACGCAAATTCAATCATCGAGTACACAGAAATTAATCTACATAACACTGAGATAACGCAACAAAGGAAGTACCTAACATTAACGTGATAATGAAATATGTCTGAATTGTCCGGATATCCGTCGACTGAGTATCATATTTGTATGATGACAACTAATAAAGTGATCCAAAGAGACCTTTGGAAATAAAGGGTGACAGTACGTCACAAGTCAGTTCACAAATTTTACGAATTAATTGAAGAATTAAAAAAAAATACACGAATTCGTCTTTCGGTCGTGATATCGTGACGATAGAGATATGAGATATTTGAAAACTTTTTTATAAAAAAATATTGTAGGCTTAATGTGGACGACGCTTGACAATAGAATTTGAAGATGACACAATGTACCTAAAAAGTAATTTAAGTAGTTAGGCATATAAGGAAACGAGAAACATTAAAATGTAAAGGTTGAAATCGTTTCCACGAAATTATTCCATCGACATTTGCTAAAACTATCTAAAATATTGTTAAATATAAAAAGTAGTTATCGTATAGCATACTTAAATCAACCAGAGATACAACCACTGAACCATAAGGATGTTGACAACTGACACGCGATGGTATTCCCGCGAGATATCAGAGGTCGTAAGATTACTCATAAACTTAAATAAAACGATTATAGTATCTCTATATTTTATCGGGTAATAAATGCAAACTAATCTAAGATCAAACTCAAATAAGTAATGTGTCAAATAAATAAAATACTTGTCTTTTGATTTGGCAACGGAATTTGCATCTTGCTTTTTTCATTTGACTTAATATGAAAATAATAATATACTTTATAGATGAACTAACTAACTGACTAAATGTAATCTTAATACATCCTTGACCCTAAAAACCTAGTTTGAACTAGGCTAGTACGGGGTAACCTAGTTCGGGATACGAGTTTCAAAGTTTTAGGAAACAACAACCGCCCTAATTTAAATTATATTTTAGACGAATATACAATTAATCAACATAATATATTAGTTACATAAAATTATATACATAAACTAAGTAGTAACGGAAAACTATTTTATATATGTTAATTTAAATAGTTAATAGTTGTGATTCGACTATATCGTCGCTGAATAAGTGTAGCATTATAATCCCATATCTCTTTATTCGTAAACATATGGGATATATGTTTGAATTTAACTGTAGAGTTTTAATTCCATAACTGCCTTAAATTGGATGAAGAAACCGAGAACGTAAGTTCCGTCCTATTATGACGTGACACATCTTTAAATGTGACTAACATACTGTTAGGAGTATTTTACTATTTAACTTAAACTTTAGTGTAAATATCTACCACATGCCAAAATAAATTTGCAATTTACTTATTTTTGGTGTTTAACGTGACCTATTTGGTATAATAATTATGCAACTTTGGTGTCGTCGACTTTTAGAATGGTGTAATTAAATTAAATATGGGTACAATATGTTACCCACGCTGTTAATATGCAGAACAATGGATGTTACGATTACGTTTCCGAGAATTAACAATAGAACGTGTTTTAGCTATTCCACACGAGATTAAAGGTCACACAGATTGTATAAATTTGACCCGAGACCCGGACACTACGAGATTAAATGAACAATACTATTTGAATAACTCAGTAAAATATGTAAAGATCTAACAATATTTACTAATTATTGTTTCTTTAATTACATAGCTTGGCCAGTTGAGTTTTTTGATGAGTATCTCCACGGTTTGAGTATTTGTTCCGTGCCCTTTCCTTCTCTCCCCATCAAATTAAACTTGCTTGTTATCAAAATCGATGGTGACGGCGCTGTTTTCCTGTTTATCTTACATTATTAATGTTTTCGAATATCTATGTATCAAAACATCAATAATATTAATGTTCTATATAAGCTTTTAACGATAACATTTATGTATCCAACACGCCTATGAAAAGGTACTCATAATGTAAATCGTAAATTGTGGGTCACAGGGCGGAAGAGGCGACATTCGGGTGACGAAATGTGGCACGCACTATCAACCTTATTGCGAGATCAAATGATCGCGTCTCGTGTTTCTTTGCCGGTCTTTGGAACACTATCATGTACGATGACTTTTATGCATATTTTATTTTTACATTCACTTTTACATCACAGTAGCCGTGTGATCAGTTGAACTTATCTTCTGGAAACTACAGACCAAATCCCTGATAGTGTTCTAGTGTAATACTGTGCCAATAAGAAAATGAAAGTACAATCATAATTTACTATTTGTTTTTGCTTGTCGACTTTATTATTAGAAAGTATTTTAGAAATTCTTCTCAAAAAATCGATTATGAAATTTGGTTGGTGGATGCGTCCAAAATATCCTGTCATATTATTTCGTCGATACACATGGCAGGCAATCGAGTGATTATATTCGAAGTCATCGTAGTACACCTATTAAGGTAATAAACCATAATAGTTTGAAGAACATCGCTCGGCTAAACTTGTAGATCCCTGCAAGAGCAACTTTGGTTTATTAGCTTTCTGAGTGTGTTCGCAAAATCGTAGACGAACAATGCCTTTGAAGTGAACCGCTGTCAAAGAACATCTTGTCCCAGTACTTGCGTGGAGTAGTTTGGTATGAGCAGAAACAGTTTATTCTCATTAAATAGCTGGCTGTTCGAGACAGATGATGACGTGTAAACATTTACACGCTAAATAGTTCAGTTAACTTTGAGTTAAATTTAATATGTTTATATCAATAATGACTTATGTAGTCTCGTGAAAGGGACAATAGATGCACATAAATGACGAATACAAAATCGACAAAGGCGTAGGCAGAGTGCCGACTTGCGCCGTCACGTCAATCAACGCCCACGATCGACCATTTAATACAAACACAAACACTCAAGGCTCAAGCAGATCTCCGCGAATTCCAAGCGAACATTGTTGCAAATTTGCAACGGTCGGCACAGGAGCGACGACGAGTGGCGAACGGCGAGCCCGAGCCTCACTGACATTGCGTACAGTCCGGCATTCCACATGGAATGCGGTCGCTCCACCGGCCGCTGCCGCGCACCGCCCCGCGTCGACGCCCGTTCTCTTCATGTTTTCTTATCCATTAACTTCCGTCCACCATATGGAAAGGTGAGGTAGGAATAAATCCAATAAGAATCTCGTCTGTTACGTCGCACAAGAAAGTCGACGATAAATTCTCACGTTTTTAATCCAACATACGTTATGAAACCGACACCGCTAACGACGGATAACATATTTTATAAACAAGACAAAACGAAAGAAAATAAATAAATAATCGCTTATAAGACCGGGTGATACACCGACTAGGAGTGGAAAATTTTTGCAAGCGGTCAGGATACGGTGTTCACCGACAGCGTTCCAGAGCGTATCGACGAGACGAGACGAGCGCCACGTCGCGGCGGCGCGATGTCCCGATCATACGACCATCGTTCGCCGAATCAGGAATTTCACTCACCTTCGTAGAAAAGCCGTCGATTAAAAATATCCTCCGACTCCAGCGCACAGATAATCCGGTTATCGTTCGTACGGCACAAATATACACCACACCAAAACGACAACATAAATAAGCGCGGGAGGAGCGACCGAACCGACGACGGATAGCTCACAGGCTTAGCACTGCTTGCACAGGTCGAAATGCAACTCGGAAAATGCACGGGGCGGGGTTGTCGATTGTCATAAATGGTCGGTTCCAGAGGTCGGGCACTCGGCGGTGCAAATATTGCAGTATCACACAAACGCTCGCATCGAAGTGGCAAAGCGGACTGAGTGAGCGGGGGGGACCCCGGCCGGGCCGGTGGCGTCGGCGAAGAGTGGGGGCGCGGGGTGCGCGCCGGGCCGCCGCCGCGCCGTGCCGACGTGGCCGCCCGCACCGCCACCCGCCGCCCGCCGCCGCTTAGCAACGCTTCGCTCGCTGCTCGCTCAGCTACCAGAAGGATCTATCATAGATTGGTGACTGCTTCCAATTAATACGGAATCATACCTCCATTTTACTGAACCAATCCTTTTTATTTACTGCATTTTGAAATTTACTTATTTAACGATTTTCAATGCACTTTTAATGGAAACATATGGAAATTAAAATTTTATGTTCGTCAATCTTTGTAACCCTAATGGCAGGGACAGCAGAAGTAATGATAGTGTTTGCACGACCTGTTGTGTTTTGTAATTTGTATTATAACAGCTAGCCGTGGGTTTCCATTGCTTCTGTGTTTAAAAAAAATGATAACATCATACAAGGGAAACTACTATCTATATAATTTGATTGGTAAAAACATAAAAAAAAAACTAGACAACTTAAAAATCTTAATTGTGTTAACATTGTTATTTGTTGTGCAGCTAGGCGGAATGCGCACACAATTCCTGTTATATCCTACAATTAGTGCACTTTCATTCCCATTGTTAGCGCGATCAAATCAGTTTTACTGTCTCTCGATCGACTGAGATTAGTGGGTGGCGGCACGTATAGCATTGTATAGCTTAACACAGTGTGCGACCGTTCTCTTCTTTGATTTATTAACTGATAAAAGAAAGTGGTAATATTGACGCATAAATTATTCTTATATTTAACCTTAGTAACTAATTAAATGCCTAGAACAGCTTTGACTTTGACATAAAAATAACCAGAACAAACTTCAGTCTTCAGACAGCTAGATTATTGGCAACAGATCCTGCTTAATTGTGAACTGCCGAGCAGCCCTCAAACCGCATGTTACATACAACATTTTTAAATAATCATTTCTATACTTAAACTTTTCTAAGCTGAGTCTTGAATGTGGTGACACAATATTGTCGTCTCTTTCTTTTTTCAAAGAAATTAAGACGGATGACAAGATATGTCATGTTTTACAACAGTTGAAACCTTTATATATTTGTCTGTGTTGTAGTTTAAACCAACAAAAAAATTGATTAATAAATAATGTTTATTTAAAAATTATTTACTTGTTATAACTTTTACTTTCTAAGGACATTTTCATTGCCATTCCGTATAAAAGTCGTTAGTATTGAGAACGGAATTAACAAATTATTTACGTCCCAATAACAAGAGAATGTAAAAATAGTTGCCGATAATGCAGCGTCTTACAGTTTGCATAATAGAGGCGTCGGAGGCATTCGTCGGTCTCAGTACTTTCACCTGTGGAGTGCACCTACCTGCTGACTGACGATTGACGAGCACATGTACGCCATCTCGGACACATATCTAATGTCTTGACATTTATTTACTAAAAAAGGTCCCCAAAAATTATCATGTAATCGTAATTTGGCGCAGTAAATATCTTATTTAACTTTGAATGGATGTTTGTAAGAAGGTATCGCCAGATCGTTTGCATGGATCTCGCTGAAATTTGGCCAAGGCGTAGATCATACTCTAGAAGAACACATACTAATTAATTTAAATGTTCCCGCGCGGACGAAAACTTGCAAAAACTTTCAGGAAACTTGCAATTTTTTTTATTAAATTATAAAAATAGCTCATTGGTCTAAAACTACATTTCTTCTTTAAATTTTACTCATTCTTCAACTTTTAATTTAATTTTCCGCCATTTTATTGGACCCAAGAGTCCCTCTGGACTAATTTAGGAATGCTAAATGCATCTCTAATGAAATCGAGCTTCGATACCACGTTAATTGCTCATATCAGAATGACATATGACATTTTGTTTTAATTAGAAATGAAGAATTATTGGATAAATTTTGTTTATGCGCAAATATTTGGAATAAAGTTTATAGGGGAGGTAATAAAAAAAATGGTGCAATAGTAAGCATACTACTTTAATATTATTTTCAAAAAACCACGAGATCACAGTCAACAAATGTAATTCCAAAGTTGCATATTATTCTACTATCTTATCAACTAAATCTTAATCAATAAACAACATAATATTATTATTTAAGTGTTATCTTAAAATAGACGCTAAAATATATTTTAAACTAAGTAAAATTTAGAAGCGAGATAAAAACATACCAAGTTTTGCATTATAAGTTTATAGAAAATGAGTTGTAGCTTTATTACTTAATGTACACATTAAACCATAAAAGAAAAGTTAAAATCGCAACTATGTTTTAAAATCTATCATTTATTTTCATGTATATCTAATAATTAACACTTATTAAGGTTCAATAAATCTGGTTACATTCTTATTTGACATATAACAGATCTTTTTACGTAGTTTGAATAAAGCGAATTATGTATTTTGTCGTACAACGCAGGATTAGCAAAACGTAACCAGCATTCTACTGATTTCATCAGTTTAGCCCAAGGGTTTATCCTAATTATGTCTCATATATAAAATCAAGTCATAAATGTTAGTTACCATATTCTTCTGAAACGGCTTGACGGATTTTTACGTAATTTTATATGCATATGATTCTGAGAATCGGTTCGTATCTTTTCTTTTATCCGGCGCGAACGACGTCGCGGGCAACAGCTAGTCAATAAGTTTATAACCATGGGTGCCATGCGGGGTCCATACGGCAGAGATTGTCGTGGCTGTTGGCTGCAGTAACAAGGGTGGCCACTTTGCTGTCCGGCCCGTCGAACAGCGCCAGCGAGTTCAATCGGTTCATAATAACTGTTACCGCTTTATTCACCATGTTGACTATCGTCTCGTTGTCCATTTCCACTGGTTTCGTATCAGTAGATGTGCCAGCTGTCAGACCCGGCTTATCCTCCAATCGCTTTCTATATCCAGTCACCATTTCATCGCGTAGTATCGTCCGCAGAATAGATTGAATCTGGAAAAATAGTAATCTAGTTAGCGATGTTTATTAACTTGTACGGTGCAACGGGAACCGGTCCGGCAACAGTTTTAGTCGACTTTTATCCTTGTGGAAGGTCAAGGAAGTTTATATGGAGACATTCAAATGACTTGACAACAAAGTTGCAACAAATTTTTAATCTTATCGTAGTTACTGTATTGATTCGGCGTCGATTGAGTCAATTTGTTGGTTCAACAACAATGTTGTTAATTATTAGGTAAGTTAAGTGTCTGCTGTATTAAATCTGTAAGTTGTGATAATTGTTTACGTAAACATGTTTTTGTTTACATTTTGTATAAGTAGATCAACTCAAAAACAACTTTAAAGACTTGTGAACACCGAAAGCCTATATGAGGCTGCAAATTTATTGGTCTTAGGAAAATAACCTTAAAATTGGGTGTGACGAGGCATCGAGCGACGGCTATGGCGGAGGCTGTGAGCGGGCCCGTGATGCCGTTGTTGGTCAGCAGCTCCGAGATGTTGGGCGTCAGTCGGAACGGTACAGGCCGATTGCCATCCAGCTCTCCTACAGACACACCATACATTTAACACATTAAAATAAACTGACAATTTCAAGGGTCCCGTGGCGTAGTGTGATAGGTGGGAAGGGCTGGTGTCAATAACCTTGGACCGCCAATATATTTAAAATGAGTTATAGCAGTGTTAAATCAATCACTCAACTTGTTTTATACATTCCGTACCTGTAGTATCATCGACGTCAAACTTGAAGTAGGCGACGTTGAGCAATCCTGAGTCCTGGTGCACGTACATCATGTCGGGGCTGAGGCGTGTGAGATGTAGCACGTACTCGGCGAAGGCCGCCAACGAGAGCTGCAGCGTCAGCATCTTGCGGAACGTCCAGTAGTCGGTGGGCGCGGCAAAGGTCGCCGCTGCCCACTCGCGTACCATACCCTTTGGCACCATCGTTGCTTGCACCTGTTTACCAATGTAATATTTTACCGTGGGTTTCTCTGACCAAAATACCCGTTTAAATCATATCATTTTCTTTGTTTTGTCAAAGATATGTTTTATACAGAGATTTTAGTATCAGAAAACAACGGTTATTTGTTTTTTGTAATCCGAAGCTAAAGCAAACCGCAACATTACGAGTTTTTATATCTAAGACTACATTGGAATTCGAAATTAAGCATATTCTAGTGGCTTGTGAATTAAAAAAAAATTAACGCCTAAATATCAAATACAGGATTTTAAAAATACTAACATTTTAAAGTTGTTTCTAGCCTTAAAAATGTGATCAAGTGTAAAGGAAATATCAAAATACGACTCTTAATTCAAATGACTTTACTTCGTCCTTAAAAAACCCGTTGAGATGGCCTTTAAAAACAGCACAGGTATGAATTTTTGCTAATGTTGTGAAAACAACTTTTTTATTATCGATTGCACGCTGGTTTATTCCATACTACATCCACGACAGCAACATCGCCTTCTGTGCTCAGGTAGAGAGATAAAGAGAGGTAGAGAATAAATTAGAGCCCAGGTTCGCTGCCCAATCTCTTGAGAGCTTTTGCTTAGATTTAACAGTCTTTAGGCATTGTTTTCCCTATGTTTAGTTTATTGGTTTATATTAATAACTAACATTATAAATGCGAATGTTAAGATGTATGGATGGATGTTTGTTTAAAGGTATCTTCAGAACGGCTGAACGGATCTCGGTAGAATTAGGCATACATATAGAACATAGTCCGGAAGAACACATAGGCTAACTATATTTTTTTAATACCGCGCGGACGGAGTCGCGGACGACAGCTAGTTAGTAATATATCTAGCATCCGTGTTTATATTATACGCCTCGAGATGACTTCTTTATTTATCCTTAAGAAACCAGTTGTCTACAAGCAGGTTTTGTTACTACAGATGTGGTGAATATATTAATTTGTATAAAAGTTATTATTATACAGTTGCTAAGCGAATTAATCACTTTCCTTTGTATTTGAAGATTTTGTCGTCTAGTGAAATTATTTCATAACGTTTTTACCTACACATGGAGCACAAATTGCGTCA